TATGAGTGAGGCCCTCCCCATTTTGACACACTAATTATGAATTCTCTCTCCTACTATTAACACTTACCACATGCCCTTCTGTATTTTTTCAGCTAGTACTGAATTACACCACAATTGGAAGTGAAGTCCAAGCAGAGAGAAAGGAGGCTATTTGTCAGGTGTCCTCGTTCCTTGATGTTGTGTGCGGCACTGAGGCGGTTCTTAGTGTTAAAGCCCTGCAGGTTCCCCCGCACCAAATTAGCATATCTCTGTTTTATGGTCTGCATTAATTAGGGTGACTCCTCTCTTCCTGCTCATTATTACCACTAAATCTCTGATCGCCCAGACTTTCCCCTCAACCTCCATCTATCCTCACAAAAAAAAATTCCCAAAATCACCGCCCTTCTTCCCCTCTTTCGTTACCTCAACCCCTCTTAAATCAGCTATTTTCCACCACAAGACAATATGAGTTTCCAAGCTGGAGGTCGTGGATGCTTCAACTGTGAGTCTACACAATTCTTGAAACCAACCAAAACATCATTCGTGGGCGCGATTCTGGCTGCAGCGGCAGTTCTCTTGGCCTCTACAGAGTCCTGGAGTCCTGAAGCTCAAGCCAGAAAGTACCTTGTTCCCTGGCTGCCAAGTCATATTTGCACCCACAGTCTGAAGATCTCCCCGGTCGCGCAAGTCTCTTCTCTTGTTCCCAGTCCCATTGGAATCGAGTACAAGTTGCTATCTTTCTTGCCCGGGACGCATGAGGGGCGGATCTGGTCTCAGCAATCTGCACAAAACATCTCAAGAGAGTGAAAATATCATTCTACCATGCACACCTGGATAATATAGACACTAATAATTTTTTTTCTCCTCTGCAATTTAGGCGGCGATGCCTCGCATCAGGTAAATATCGCCTACTTCCAGGACAAGTTGGCGGAGAGCATCATGGCCCGTCCCTGTCGGCTTGTTCCGTGGCACTGTCGTTGAAGGAGTCTGACTAGTTTTAGGCCCGCGATTGCCCCAAGAAGGGTACCCCTACTTGGTGAGGATTATCACGTTCCTGGCTGAAACAAACTTACTTACCAGTTCTTCACAGCTACAACTGTGGTGGTCAGTTTTCCCACAGCCCTTCTCGCATTCACTTTCCCTTCTCGTTATCTTGACTATTGGCTACCGGCTTCTGGAAGCTACCCAGTTGCTGGGCCGTTAAATTTGGTCTGACTTGTTGATTTTTCCAATCTCAGGTCAGGGACACGTCAGTAAGTTGTTCACTGATGCTGTATGCTTCTATTCTGGTGGACCAGGCTGAAACATTGCAGGTCGTGAATGTACGGTAGCCCCGAAGGAAAAGTCATGCTATCGTTGTGGAGCCACTGGTCACATTTCCCGCGAATGTCCTCAGGCTGGCTCGGGCGAGAGCTACGGTGCTGCTGGTGGTAGTCAGGAGTGCTACAAGTGTGGCCGGGTCGGCCACATCGCGAGAAACTGTCCCCAGGGTGGCAGCTATGGCGGTGGCTTTGGCGGCCGTCAGCAGACTTGCTACTCTTGTGGCGGCTTCGGCCACATGGCTCGCGACTGCACTAATGGCCAGAAGTGCTACAACTGTGAGTTATGATCCCTCTCAGTCGACATCAGCTTGGAAACTGACAATCACATAGGCGGTGAAGTTGGACACGTTTCCCGCGATTGCCCCACCGAAGCCAAGGGTGAGCGCGTGTGTTACAACTGCAAGCAACCTGGACACGTTCAGGCTGCCTGCCCTAACTAGTTTGAATGCACTCTGGACTGTTTGTCTTCTGTCACGATGTCTCGCATGGGACCAGACACGGGAATATGCATCTCGATCGCGCCATCATTGACGATCTGCAATTCATTTCTCCCGCTTTATCCTGAAGCCAATTTCTGACATGGCATACGAGCCTGGCTTTGAAAACCTCTATCAACCCTATCTGGTCTGTTCGATATCCGAAGGATATCTGTTTCGCCATAGAGTTGTATGAACGATCTGCTGTCTTGCTTGAAGGCAGTAAGGCTGGATTGAGGACTGATAGGTGCATTGTGTTGCGGGTGGACAAATAGATGAAATCACTTGTGTGCTGTGGAAGACTTTTGTCCACGATAATGGAATTATCTTAACGGCAATCTACATCGATTCCACAGAACTTCTCCCTATCCTGGACTTCCTTGCTGAAAGGCTCGATCTTCCTGCTTCGTTATATTCACCACGGGGCAATTAGAGGGACACCCTTCATAGTGTCATTATCGAATTGTTTCCATCATTGCGTAGTTTACTGCTCTCCAGAAGGCAGTGCAGGCTCTCGCTTTGAGGCAGTATGTTAGGCTCGAATGAGACTAAACGAGCAGGGCACCAACAACATATCTAAGCAAGGCTACCATTGTAAAGATAGAATATCGAATACCCGCAAGGGACGAAAAATCCTTTTCATGAGCTACAACTGCACATCATTGCTCTTTTGAATTTCGGAACATCGCCGCAGAACCGCCGTTCCTCCTCTCCATCTAGACCCCAATCTTCGGCGAAAGGCTTCAGTGCCATTTGCATCACTCGCCCGAGGACATCTCGGTCCCCCTTGCGCTCCACGCGGTCAATGACCTCGTCAAGTATCCAGCCACGTGGTAGGAACTATTGTGTAACTCAAGTCAGCGGACGACCACAATATCCCAAATATGTCAATCCTCACTCCCGAGACAAACATACGCTTGGATTTACCGATTTCATTGACATTTGCCTCGCCGTATCATTGTCCGTGTCCCAGTCTTCCAAGACGCGAGTTCTCCATATCTCAAGCCAGTGCGCAATGCGTTCTCTAGCTGCTGCTTCTGTCAAGCTGACACTGTCAAATCCCTCATTATGGAAAAATATCGACGCCATTTCCGTTCTTTGAGCCGATGTCTCGATATCTGAAAGTGGGATGTTTGAAAGTCTCCTGAAAAAATGGTTGAAATCCAGCTCTAATGCTTCCATCATGTCAAGCATTTCAGAAAACAAATCCTGGAAGTCTGTCTCTCTATCCGTTTGAAGGCCTAACCTCCTTCTCATGAGTTGCTTGTATTCGCTCAGAAATACAGCCTTGAATTCCTTGCCTGTTTGTTCAATGATTTTTTCTGCACGTTCGACTACGGCCGGTGCGGAGCTTTCAGTCAGCCCTTTTTTCACGAATTTTTCATGATCAACTTGGTCTCCTGCCCCAATGAGTTCCCCGAGGGATTCACCCAGTCTGACCAGATTCCACCAGATGATACTAGGCTGGTTCTTGTAAGAATATCTCAGTAGGTGGTCATCGTGATTGGGCGTGTACTGGGGATCAAAGTTATCCATAAATGCAAAAGGGCCGAAATCCATCGACAAGCCGCAAATCGAGGTGTTGTCCGTATTCAGAACACCATTCATGAAACCATAGGCTTGCCAGGCAGCAACAGTCTTGGCGTTGCGGCGTGCAATCTCTCGATAAAGCCTTGTGAACCTGTTTTCTTCCAAACCTTGATTCTCCTCCACTTCGCTTTTTGGAGCATACCCGGATGGGTTATCCATGGCAGGCGAGGGTTGACTATTGTTTGAGTACACAACAGAAGGGAGAGTCTCCCATCCATGGAAAACTTCTTCGGCGACATATGTTGCCAACTTTCGAATCACGTCACGGTCTCCACGTGCACGCAATAGATCAAAAGTGCCAATACGGAGCCAAGATTCTGCAAATCGAGTTACAATGGCTCCCGGTTCAATGCGCTCTCGCAACACTTTCGATCGCGGCAATAAAGTAATGGCTAAGGCCCGGGTCGTTGGAATACCGAGTGCCGAAAGAGCTTAAGGAGCAATTAGTTTCCGCCAGTATAACATCTCTTCGGGGAACCACCTTCAGAGACAATGTATTCTCGGATGCTCGACCGGAGCACAGCTTTGCCATCAGCAAAGCGTGAGTAGGGCGTCCGTCCAGCTCCTTTCAACTGCAGCTCATAACGAACGTTCGTGTATGGGTTAGTGCTTTCAAAGAGGCTTATGGCGCGCTGCTCAATGTCAATTCAATGCATATATAACGTTCAATTGCGGCCAGGTGCCACACACCCCGTCTCCTAGTTGACCAGCCCATGAGCCACTACCATTTGTCAGTAGGATGCATAGCACTACCAGCCACAGATCCTGTAACGTACAATTGCCACCCTTCAAGCTGTTAGTCAGTGGTTTTCCATTTTAGTGCATGTGGGAAACGGTGTGAGAGTGGAGTGCATTGAAAGACTTGCCTCCATAGCATTGTGCCCAAGGATATATTCCACCCGTAGATTGGTCCCATGGAAATTCATTTCCGGAAACCAGGGCACGGAATTCTTGTGTAGTAGTTTCACTAGATGCGAGTCCAAGATCGTCCAAGGCTTTCGGGCTTACCCCCAGAATCTCATACTTCTCTGCTGGCTCGGGCCTCACAAACGTGTAAAGAGCACCTCTTACTAAGCGCGGCCCCAGAGCCTCGCGAGGAGCTCGATGCGATATTTCCGGTGTTTCAAACGCAGGGTCGGCAGGAAGCTTGGATGTGAAGACATTGGACTTGGAAAGCTCGCGCAGCGAAACCCCTTTGCCGGATTTCTGGAATGACGAAGCCATGTGGTAAGAACGCCCAGGAGGCATCCACAACCCTTTAGGCACTCTGCGGAAGGATGCTAAATTGACGTAGGGATATGAAAAGCGAGCATTGATGATAACCATGAGAGTTGTGGTGCGGACTGCTCATCAAAATGAGCCGATACCAACTTCTATATTGTGCCTCATTCGGAAAGTTGGTGTGGGTAATGGTCAGATCTTTAAAGTATGCAGAGTAACTTAGCGCCTCTCCGCTAAGGTTCGGGAACTTGACCGCATATCTAAGGATGACGTCAAACCTTCGGACTTCTCATACGTGCTTTCTGTACATGAGTACGGAGTACTCCGTAGTTTATTGTCTTTTCTGAAAGGCTTTATACATTGATCTACTTTCACACGTCACAGCTCTTTATTGATAGCATACGTATGCCCAATGGCGTCCACCGCCCGGAACTTTCCATTTGTCAGATTGGGTGACGGGATAAAAATCCCACTGGTAAGTTGCTCCATGCTTTTCTATCTGTCGCGTGTCTCGACGCCTCTTTTTACCGGCGGTGTCTTTCGGCTTAATAAATACTAATGATCGTAACAGCTTGGGTACGGCAGTGGGACTGCCTGGTATAAAAAGACAACGGATGAGAGTATAGATCGCGAACTTGTCAATTCCATAAAAACGGCTATTCGATTGGGATATCGTCACCTTGATGGGGCCGAGGTCTATGGAACGGAGCCTGAACTGGGTCTTGCCATTAAAGAAAGTGGCGTTATCCGGGAAGACTTATTTGTGACGACGAAGGTGAATACCAACATCGCTGACATCCCGGGGGCCATTGATCTGAGTCTTCGGAAGCTCCAGCTCAGCTACGTCGATTTGTATGTATACCGTACCTAGATCTCCGGCATCCGTTGCATTAAAGTCCGTGAAGTACTTATGGGCTAGATGAAGATACTTGATTCATTCGCTGTTCTTTGCTGAGTCTGATGATGATCTTTAGAAAGCTTGGGCTGTCATGGAACGGGTTAAGGCCGCTGGCAAAGCCCGGTCCATTGGAGTTTCCAATTTTCTCCAGGAGCACCTTGAAGCCATCTTGAGTACAGCCACAACGCTTCCGTCGATCAACCAGGTTGAGTTCCATCCTTACCTTCAACACGGTAATCTGCTAGAATTTCATCGAGACAGAGGCATTAGAACCGCTAGCTATGGCCCCTTGACCCCGATCAATCGCGCCAGGGGTGGTCCCCTTGACCAGATGTTGTCCGGTCTGGCCAAAAAGTACGCGGTCGGTGAGGGAGAGATCCTGTTGAGATGGGTTATAGACTGTGGTTCCGTGGCGATTACGACCAGTAGTAAAGAATCCCGCCTGAGTAGCTACCTGCGTGCACTTACCTTCAAGTTGACACCCAAGGAAGTTAACGAACTGTCCAGACTAGGCCAGAAGGCACATTTTCGAGCGTTCTGGCGAAATAAATTCGCTCCTTTCGACCATTCATAGTGGTCTTTATGTGTTTGTACAGTCAGTGTCCACGAGTTTAAACGGTAACCTCTTACCAATGAAGCTGATTCCAGTCCACAAACATCAACATGAGTTAATGTCTGCGTTGAGCATTAGGACAGCAAGGAAACATCATGAGAGGCGGAGGTCCTGAAGAGGCACAACAAGGATTGACGGCAAACAAGAAGTCGATGTCTCACAGATTCTTGTAAATTAGAGCCGAGAACTAATCTATGTACTGTACTGGTATTTATACGGAGTACAGAGTACTGCACCGGACGCCTTCCGCGCGCCCATTAAGATACTGCCAAGCGGCTCCGCTTAGAACCCGGCCGGAGCATTGACCTAACCTAGTACTCCGTACTGAACAACAAACTCCGTCCGGCTCATCTTCGACATTGACACTCTACTCCCCTCTCGCTGTGAGCCTAGGGGCATTGATTATCCTAAACTTTGGGCTAGGTGTTTCTCCTCTATCCTTATGGCCAGATACTACAGCCATAGGTTCGGCATTGGCTTGGGCGCTCGATAGTGCGGCATATTAGGTATCGGCTTCTAGTCGGCAACCCACCCCGTACCCAGGGCAGCTAAGACTCCTGGGAATTCACTTGCATAGAGGAAATATTACTACTGTGGACCGCAGGGTCTGTGATTGAATATTGTTGAACAGGCTCTGCCACGGTAGCTGGCTATGCGCGGCTGAAGGGGACGCCGGGATTTCGAAGGAGACCCAAGGATCAGATCAAGGCTTGGGGCACTATATAGATCGATCACGAACCGATGGGAAGCTAACAAGGAATCACGACACCAGACCGAATGCGATAACGCTGCTTGGATGTTCAACACCGTTGGAATACAGATCGCAAAGAACACATGCAAACGCACAGCCATCTCAAAGAAGCCGAGCAACACGGGCGTTGGAGCTAGGAAGCCCAAGTGTGGGTGGAAATATTCTTACAAGGAAGTGCATGCTTGCTATAGCTGCTGCCAATTCCCCACACATCTATTTGACGGACTGCCATGTCGGGAGAGCATTCTCTTCGCCCCGCGAACGCTGAATCGAGAGGAACCAAGAGAGCAAGCGAACACAGATATAATTTAGATCAAGACTCCATTGATCGACGATTGAAGAGACTTAAAGATCAAGTCCTTCCACTTTATCCCTTCCTCCTTACTGTCCCGACTGATGTGCCTTTCCGTCTTGGAGGGCGCTTTGTTAATAACTGGGCAGTGAGTGATGACGGCCCTTTCACGCCAGAGGAACAGCAACTCCAATACATGACTTTTTTGACTCATCACGACGGAGAATCCTTGTTAGCCGCTGTGGGCGATTGGTCTGACAGTGCAGGAAACGTCATGTCCGATCAGCAATCCGGGCCTCAGAGTGCAGCTAGCACACCATCTTATAGTTCACTGAAGAAGAAGATAAGCCTAAATGATTACAAAAACAGGAGAAAGTCAGGCGCCCCCTCTGGCTCCCCTGTCAGTCGAGAAGCCCCTTCCCAATCATCGACTGCCCAAACGCACAATGGAAGCCAATCAACCAACAAAGCTAGTGGTTTCATTGACGAAATACAGGGACCGGCAGAGAGGGCGGCTCCAGGCAACGTGCAGTCCTCATCTGGTGACAAGAACATGGATCGCAAACGTCCGCTTGAAACCGATAATGAGCCAATGAAATCAACTGGGAAGGGCCATGTCTCTTTAAAAAAAAACAGATTGTCTACTGATTCTACAGTAGAATCCACCAAAGTGGGACGATTGCGGGGCAATGGACTTCCTGCTCTCCTATCACCGACTCTGCCCCCAGTTTCAAGCAGCCCGAGACTGCCTCGACTTCTATCTCCAACACTTCCACCGGATCTGGAGAAAGAGTTGTCGATGCAAAATGTGGATTCTGTCTCCTTCGACTCCTTACAACACCCAGATGTGACAAATATCGATGCTTCAAATTTGCAAAAAGCCAAATCTGCTGTTCGTGGCTCTACCTACATGAACTTGTCACCCATTTCCAGCCGGCAAAACAAAACCTTGAACTCTGGTTCCGTTAGAAGATCGAGCGTTCTTCAAGAACCTTCGGACGTTGGTTCATCTAGATTTACGACTACAAAAGTTGGCTCTCAACACCTACCCAAGGAATCTGTAATGAACTCAGTGGATACACGAACGAGTTACCACTCAAGTCATGCCAGAACAAGGTTCATCGTCAGATTGAGGTATGGCAGAGCGAACAGGAAGCGGGTTGAAGCCCTTCTAAAGTTCTCCGGTAAGCGGAAGATAGGTACATCAAGCTCACCCGTAAGAAATGTTGATATTTCTCACGCTACAATATCTGGACAATCTGTAGCGAAGGCTACAGCATCTGAGCGTGCAGAAAACGGCAACAAGTTATCTCGCAACGACTTCAAAGCAAAAAATGACACTGCAAATATGTCTTCGAAAGAATGCACGAAAGAGTCCAAACCCCCTATTATTATCGATCAGCCCCAGTCCCCCAAACTTCCGAGCCCGCATACCAAACAGATTCTGCAGGATAGGTCAAAACAGATGCAGTCAACGTCGAGAAAAAGTGTTAATTGTTCTGGTCAATATGAAGTGTCTGGAGATACTAGCGAGAGAATGCCCCCCCAGTCCGGTGTGAAACATACAGCAGAGTGGCCGACGCCTACCAAACCACCATCTCCTCAAACAAGCAGCGCTGCATCTCGGCAATGTGAGCGTCGGGCGTGGAAGGAGGAATACCAGAAATATGGGAACCTTGGCCGAGAACTGAAGCATGCCGCGGAACGCCATACAGCTAAAGATAATGCGACTGTTGTCGATGAAAAACTCGCGGTTGCCACGGCTGTAGAAGCTATACTATGCTTCATCCTAGCTTTTGTCGCAGATGACCACTTCAAGGCTCTAAATCGCCAAGTTGCCGATTCTTCTTCATGGTTGTCCATTCTTGCCTATTGGCGCGTGGTGAAGAAAAATAGTGCACCCTATCCCCGATTGCACAGCCTATGTCTCATGCTTGGGGCTGTCTCGTATGATGCAATCCATGCACTTGATTTAGAAAGGCTTGCAGTTACACCTGTACCGGAAGAACATACTGCTATATCTACATCGGGCAGCGACGAGACAGCGGTTTCACTGGACGATTATAGAAAAGCCCGAAGGGAATTCAACGAGCTGAAGCATCGACTTCCTGAGTGTTACCGAGAGTCTCAGAAGCTATGGCTGGAGGGCTCACGCGGTCTTTCTGAGAATGTACTTGCTAGTGAATTTCCCGCCACATGGTCCAATCGGTCAAAGAATTTCTCGGAGCAGGGGAAGCCACTTTCAAAAGCTGGTGACTTATCCATCGAGTACTTTCTTCCGTTGAGAAAAACCAGTACACCTTCGGAGATTATCAGTTTCAGTTGCGCAATCCTGAAAGAGTGGTGCACGAAGGAAGGGATTGGGTGGAGGAGTAGACTTGATGTTTAGCTCAGCTGGATTTTGATTGCTCGAATATTCCCTTTGCATCTTCCACCTTGGCTTTTGAGCGCTCTGAGGTGGTCTGCAGGACACTGCTTGCTGCCAGTTCTTGTTTTATGATACCAACCTACCTTGTCATGTGTCCGAGTTGCGTCTCTTTGCCCTTTTTCAAATCGTGATCTGCTCCCACCAGTTGTGAAGTTGTGACTGTGCTTTATCTTGGCATCCCCACATTTAGTGCACGTCTAGTAAGAGAGCTCTTCAGCTCTTATAGAATAATACTACCATAAGAATTACTGTGACTTGTCCTCTTCGTTGCACCGCTTCCAGATGTGGCTCACTCCTAGCCCTATAGTTTGAGACTACTATTGGTACGGTACGTGATGTTTAGTATTCTTTTTGAAGATAACACAGTTAAGATCGCAAAATCTATGATGTGAATCCAAGCTTAGAAGTAGGACAGTATACGGAATTGGAGATTGCAGAATAATATGACTGTAACAAAATTGCACAGTACGATATAAAAGACACAAAGCACCCGGTAAGCCGGTTTATGGAAATCACCTGTTATCTGCGATCGTCGAAGATGACCGACGTACCACGAGGAAGGGCATGTTGGTATCATAGGTACCACATGACCATCGCATGTAAATCTTTTCGATGGGACTGTCCTCCACACAGAATGATATGAGGTCAGTGGGTCATAGTTCGCTAGAAGCTGTATAGCTGACCGAAGGAGCAGGCTCTTGGCCAAAGAGCCAGCCAGCTTCCCGACAATATCTGGCCTCCCTTCCATAGCTACCAACTTCACTGCTCCAGCAGATGACAGACGCATCGACAATATCAGCAATGACACTCTCGACGGCTCCCAAGATACTCCAGCCAATCGCTCCAGCAATCAACCCTATCATGTAGGCATAGAGACTCCCATGAATCACACCATTTTCACTGGGCACGCGGAAGTTCCGCGCAGTACTAACCCAGCCTGCGAAACCAAGTGCTAGTGACATTATAAGGCGAGCAGCATGAAGGATAAGTTTAGATAGCCGATATGAGACAAGAGGTGCGCAATGTTCGCGAGACCAAGTAAATGACCGTGGATGCAAAGGTGTCATGGCTGTTGATGGCGCCAGGTTTGCCATCTGCATCAGACCACGAGCCGATACAGCAAGTGGCTGAGAATGAATTGCAGCATAAGTGAGGGCCAGAGGATTGGTAATAACGGCCAGTGGAGTCGGAACAAAGGAGTAGGCACAAAGACTAAGAACAGAAGAGATTCGGTGAGGGAGCAGCAGAAGCGGAAGCCGAATTAGCAAGACCAGTAGGCTAGACAAGCAAACCGTGCCAAAAGATGTTGCGAGGCAATGATACGCGGCGGCTTGGATGATCTGTCTGGATGTTGGAGCGGGCGTGGTGAATCTGTGGAAATACCACTGACTCACCGTTGCAGCTGTGATCGTGCGTTGAATACCAGAGATGACTCCCAGAGACCACAGGTAGATCAGTACATAATAGGCTCCTAACCACCAACTGCTCGGATCCATAAAAAAAAGCATCGATCCTGAGACATGTCCCGTTAAGAATACGCGTGTGAACATGAGCATCCAACCCCACGTCCAGACGACAATGAATAAAACGACACCCAAGCCAATAATCAGAAGTTCGATGTTTGCGGCAAGGATGCGGCAGGCAAATTCAAGTATGCCCACTGCTCGGCCTATAGCACGATGGCTTCGAATGACGTTATAGATCCAAGCACTTGCTATCACGAAAGGAATAGCTGACCCCCATCTCATGACTTTGTCTTGGATGCTCGACCCATGCCAGGCGCCACGGAAACTCGAGATAAAGGGATAGAGTGAAAAGAAGTACAAAATGGCCGGAACGACGAATATGATGACATAGACTAGGACGCGTACATATGACCGTAGCAATGCGAGCCAGAGCAGAGATAAAGATATCGAGACCAGAGTAAAAATTGCCAACATGAAGAACGAGTTGTGAATAGTCGAGTATACCGTATCGCCCCATTTCGGTAGGTTTGAGGGTGTAGAAGTATGAAGATAAATAAGGAACGAAGTGGCAAAGAGGCAAGCGATGGATATCAAAAATAGCTGGCCCCAGAAAGCGTCATAGACAGGTGAACCGACCCTAGCCGATACGATCGACTCTTGGTATGAAGCTGGTGAGCTCGCTCGTTGGAAGAGCACCTGCGCCTCGGCGTTGTCTGGCCCTGGTGGCATGGTGGGTGAACCTATTCCAAGTCTACTCATTCGAGGCCCTGGTTTTTCCCGAAACCGCTGGATCGAGGGCGGGCTGTCGTCACCTAATTCTGGGGGCGCAACTTCCTCGGCATGGGCGTCCGGTATAAGCGTATCCTCCAAGCGAACATCAACAAGGTTCTCTCCTAAGCTCATACGTTTCGTTTGTATCTCCTCTCTAGGCTCAGCGGACACCCCGTTGTTGAAGATTTGTGGATTTGGTGCATTATCGTCAAGACCGCCTTCGCGCCATGAGCTCCAAATGCCCTTGCCCTTGGAGACTGTCCGAGTGAATTGTTGTGGTACTGATGCTTCTGGGCTGGAAAGAGATCTATCATCTTCATCATTTTCCGAAGAGTCCATCAAATGGTTGATGCCAAAATGTCGTCGTGATTTCTGCAAGGCATAGAAATCTGCAATTTCCCGCTCGTGCTCGGTTTCATCGTCCTCCTCTCGAAATTCATCTGTGGCACTGTAGAACAAAGGCGCTTGTGGAACCGGATTACGCGAGCCCGGGACGAAATTGGAAAATTGCGAGGCGGCTGTTTGATACGGATCAACGGCCGCTCGCTGTAAAAAAGACCGTGACGAAAGAGATCGTGGATTTCCTGGCGGCTGTATCAAGCGTTCATGGCCTTTTCGGCGGGCATCGTCGGAATGAATCACCAACCGGGACTGCGATTGTGCGAGGAATCGAGAGGCGTCTGAGCATGTTATTAAGATGGGTTCTCCAAGACGTAGCATAAGATACCTTCAAGCATTCAACTGAGAATCATACATTCAGAGAACATTGTCTTCAAAGCCTTTGGCCGACTTTATAACTCTTATCTCTTCTGCTTTCTTGATCGTTCTTGTGGCTTGATGCCGAAAAGTGAGTCAAGTACTGGGTCATGTATCACGCTCCCTGATAAGAACGGCCGAGGAGTAGCGGTGAGCTCCTCTGAGTTCTTGATTCGCAAATCACAAGGGACTTGTTGAGAAAGAACTACATAGCAGGAAGAGGAGAACGGAAAGATCTCAAACAAGAGCCTCGTGGTCTTGATTGGAGGTGTATGAGTATCGAAGGAGGAGGGAAGGAGAGACAGCCCGCGCCTGAGAGGGTTTGGTGTACCGTGAGGAAGAGGATTGGCCGCTGATGTAGCTTACAACCAGCCAGCGTCATAAGGGCAAGGTCATGTTAACAGATGACTCAGCACTCGAGTAACTCAGTTAAGTAATTGAGTTAGAAATAGTAGGCTAGTCAACTCAGACAAAAATAGTTACCTTGTGACTGATCTAGCAGATATGAAGAAGATTTGTCCTGCTAGGCTTGAATTCAAGCCATCGCCAGAGAAACATTCCTACCTACATTTTTGACCTCGGAACTGTAGCTTTGAAGTTAGCGTACGAGTGACCGAGCTTCTCGATTTTCAGTTACGTAGCCAGTCCCCACCATAGTAGCCCACTACATTATCACTGGTATTGATAGGCATTAACCTTTTAGTGTTAGTTCGGATCCGCGATACGTAGATATTCGGTGCCTAAGCACGACTAACTACGCCGGTCCAAACAACGCGTTTTCCTCAAAATTCCAACCCAAGCCGGCCAACGCATCCATCCTAGGCCATCATACGATTTTTGATCCGTGACCGCAAGGGAAGGCTTTCTAAGTGTGCGTCGCAATCTTGGCTGACGACCCCCAAAGAACTAAACCTTTGATGGGCTCCTCCCAACAGCTGGGGATGGAGTATGACTTCACGAGTCTGATCTGCCGGACATAATAGAATCTCAGAAGCAAGCTCCTCTGCTTGATCGTAGAGCTGCGTCGCTCTGCTATACCCATGTCACAGCCATGGGACTACATCGCTAAGCTTGTCTGCATTGGCGACTCTGGAACTGGGAAATCCAGCGTGAGTATCATGGACGGTGACCTCAGCTAGGATGACTCTGACAGACAGTACCCTATCTAGTTAACAATTCGACTTTGTGAAGGTCGCTTCTCATCCTCCCACGATGTCACGATCGGCGTGGAATTTGGTTCACGCATCGTCCCAGTTGGCCCGCCCGCATCAAAAAGTCTTGAACTGAGACTTGACTCCCATGCTCGCAGACCTGCAACATCATCGTCTGTTTCGTCACCTCCTTCCCAGATCCCCATCGCTGCTTCGGGACAATCTGCTGTCACCGGACTGCCCAGTCCTCCGCGCAAGCTCGTCGAGTGTCAAAAGAGAATGAAACTCTCTCTCTGGGATACGGCTGGTCAAGAAACATACAAGTCCATAACCCGTTCTTACTTCCGCGGTGCTTCTGGTGCACTTTTAGTCTTCGACATCACCAGGCCTTCCACTTTCTTATCTTGTACACAGTGGCTTCAGGATTTACGGCAAATCGCCGAAGATGGGATTGTGATTATTCTGGTTGGAAACAAGAGCGATCTGGCAGATGACGGTTCGGCCTCGAATCAGAGAAGGGTGACCAGGCAGGAAGCCGAAGAGTGGTGCCGCCAGAATAGTGTTGCCAATTATGTTGAAACTAGTGCAAAATCTGGCGATAACGTCGAATGTGCGTTTCTCGAGGTAGCTGACATGATCTACCGCAATATTGAAGCCGGTAAATACGATCTACATGATCGCCGCAGCGGGGTCAAGGGCTTTGGCGCTACCGGTGGACCGAATCGTGGAGCTCCTAAGACCGTTACCTTGGGACTGAACGATGCGATGCGCACCAGTGGAAATGGTGTTGTTGGTGGTTGTTGTTAATGGCAATACGGGTACCATTTGGACAACCCACTAAGCGGGTCGTGCGAGCTACTTACACAATAAAAGCTCATTCTCACACCTAACAATTCTAATACCTCCACGAGGGTTTCAAGGGTGGAAAGTGACCCAACCACGTATTCTACATGTCTGGCAAATTACCTCCACAATCAAAAGAGCAGAATGCTCAAGGATGTCTCCAAGAGATCTGAGACGGAAGGAGGCTGCTCCCACGAATTGTAGTTAAATAAGACATGGATTTGGTTGCCCATGTAAATGAGCAGGCGCCCCAGTGGACATGTTAAATCAAAGAATGATAGAGCAATGAAGAAGGCCAGTAGGTCCTAGAAATAAGGGTCGACGTTCTGGTGTGATAGGAAGACTGAACCTCAATTACCAATTTTCCACCCACTCAGCCAGTTTAGATGCTTCCAATTCTGGCTGGGGCCCTCAATACCGAATACCACAACACGGAAGTATAAGAACAATCCGAATATCACAATATAAAGCACTGTGTATAGTACCACGCGCGATTTATCACTGGCAGTCCGAGTGAACCAATCGACACAGAACCCAAATGTAAGTATGGCGTAATACAGAGCCGGATAGTAATGATGGACATAGGTTACCCTTGCCATAACCACGAAAGGCAAGTAATGCAGGATCCACCCCACAACAGGGTATACACCTGAGTAATGTATGTGGTCAATTTCTGCTTGTGTGAGCTCATTGTAACCTCGCTGCCAGCGCACAAGATACCAGAGAACTAAAAGTCCGAAGGCAGCTAGGCCGGCACTACTGCCCCAGTATACGAAAGGGTTTCCAAGAAGATAGTACTTGACAGTATTATCATCCCAGGAACACATGCGGAGACCAACATTCAAGATTGGCCACTGCCAGAACTTTGAGGCGAGATCGTCCTGCTTGTCTGGATCAGGGACCAGGGCGTTGTTGGATGTCATCATGGCGACATTCAAATGAATGAAGTCTTTCCAAAATGGCGATTTGTAAGAACCAGGATCTCCCGGTGGAACTAAAGATAAGAGTGAGTAAACCGAACGCCACAATGGGCAGATGACAGGAAAGGAGGATAAGGCTTACGTCTCTCGTTGTAATGAGACTCCACATTCCAGTGCGTATACACATCGTTGGGCTTGTTCTCCTTGACACAGGTAGTTTCGATCTGCTTGAAGCCCCATTGTGGGAGATTCACATTTCCAGCCCTCAGGTAGCAACCTAAGACAGGGTGCTTCAAGCGGAACGCCGTGGTGAGGGTTCGGACTCTACTCCTGTCCTTGGAAGCGACATCATCAACAACTTCAATTGCCCAATGATCTTTGTCGTCTCCAATGGTAATGTTGCCATAGCAGGATACTTCGTAGTGGCCTTTAGTTACTGGCGCTGGGATCGCATGCGAATGTAGATTTCTGCCTGTTTGCCCATGGATTAAGCGTACCACATCGCCGTCGCCGACAAACCTCAGTGGGCCGTTGGCATCATACTCCATATCCTGGCGGTTGGGGTAGATAAACCAGTCATTGTTCGCGTCCTTATGGTGGTAACATGTGACTTGTTGTTGGGCAGATCCTTCAGGATAAGTTTGAACATGCGAATGCAACAGGCCACCTCCGTAGCCCATGTTTTTCAGGGTAACCCTCGAGCCAAAAGCGACTTCAAGAGGACTGTCCTGCCCAACTTCGGTTCCCTTGAGATTTGCCTGGAAGAGTGAACTCATCTGCGCGTCACCGGGGCCACTGTTTTCCAAGATCCAGAAATGGGCGTAGAACGAGAGGATGTAGACGATACATGGCAGAAGTATCAAGCCTGCAATGCGAGCCAACAAGTGGTTCGCTAACACGGCCTGTCATTTATTTAGCAACGGTCTTGGTCATTGATATATACCATGACGTACCCTTGGCATCTTCACGTCGCCGAATTTGTTCCAGAGGTCCTCAACTGTGTACAACCCGACGATCGCTGTGCAAAAAAATCCGACCCATTTGACGCTGCAGACACAGCCAATGCTGACACCGGTGAGAAAAAGCCATGTGAACCATTCGAGGGAGAAACTATTAGTCTGCAATCGATGAAACTTCGCCCAGCATAAAGTGGTTGTGAAAGTAAAACATAGTAGCATGGAGTCGAGTAGAATGAATCTCGAGATTGTCGCATAGGAGTTCTCAAATAGGACCATCAAGCTGATAAGCCACACAGTGGCTCGGCGAAAACCGAGCTCGCGAGCGGTAAAATATGCCAAAGGGACGCAAGCTGCACCAAAAGCAGCATTGAATACACGCATGAAGGTGTAATTGACATCCTGAGGATATTCTTCTCCGGACTTAAACTCGAAAGAGCCGTTGTAGCCAGCGAGATACCCGGATAGTCCGACCAGCATCTTGCCCAACGGGGGGTGGACATCGAAGTAGAATTCGCGCTTCAAATAATGGGACCCAAATTTGCCAAAACTAGACATCAATGAGCAACAGATTAGCCCACTGGTGTACATACTATCCCAGAACAGTAACATTCTTACTGCGCTTCATCCCATGTGACAATGTTCGAACGTCCGATGCGATACATGCGAGTGAAAATAGACATGGCCGTGAGCAGCAACGGTGCGATGATAGGCTCCCAGTAGGCTATGGCGGCATTCGGTCGAGGCTACACCTCATGGAACGTATGTAAGCCGCAGTTCAATACCACCTGTTGACACTGTAAATTTGGCAGACAGGAGATGATGCTCACCTTGTACTTCACTTCCATCGCAGCATTGTGATTTTGATCTGATGTAACATTGGGCTTCCCCCCACGTGCAGCCGTCCTGCGCCTTAGATCAGATGCAACATTCGCACCAGTGCTTGAGCCGGTTGTTTCGGCCATAACTCAGTGAGAAAAGGATAAGAGAGAGTAAGAAAGACGTCTGTTGTAGCTTTTATAGCTAGAAGTGAAAGGGACTGAATAGGACAATCTTGAGCTGGCACAACCTGGCACAGTGAACCTAGCGAGACTGAGACTTAATTTCAAATAAAAGGGGTCATCTCTCGCAGGCAAACGAGGAGCTTGATATTTCAGTAGAGAAGGATGGAGGAAGATGACTGTTTCAAGGAATGTAAAGGGTTGAGATAGAGGATTTAAAGTGGCAGTGAGATGTAAGTTGAATTCAAAGATGAGTTGAATTCAGAGAATTTCGGCAACGTCGGTAGAAAGATAACACGAAAAAAAAGGAATTAGAATTTTCGACCAAAGTGAACTGTAGGACCAAGAGAAGATTGAAGGAATTGAAGGAAATGGCGAGGGGCAAATACAGGCATGGAAAAGGCGCAGCACATTCAGGTGAAAGTGAGAGTTGGCCTGGAGTTAACATGGAAAGCCCGGGCGCATGTTTGAATGGTTTCCGCCCCACTTGGGGGCTAGGTGGTAAGGTAGGTACTTAAATGAGGACAGCAAACCCAGACAACCCGGATCCATGATAAGCACATTACTTCATTAGTGGTTGACATTGAAGATGCGATTCTACGGTGCATTGAGGAGCTTTGGTTCGCTTCACATATCTTAGTTTTCGTTTGTATGGTAAGGTTCCGCCAAATACTACACATAAATGCATAAATGGGTTAACTTATATCTCATAAGCACGCTACACCGTCATGCTGCTAGCTTGTATCGGAAACATAACTCGATAACTGTGGTTCGCGCTTCTATCCCAAGATTTTCAGTATGAGAACATTGGAACGAACACAAATGTAAGACAACGACATCTAACAACGGAAAGCAAAACATTCCCAGCGCAGGCTGCTTCAAAGGCAAACTAGGTCGATATTTCGCGCCGAGAGGTGGAAACACGATCGAGGCAGAAAAAGGCAGCACCGCAGTTTCCTGCAGTGTAAGGGCACGTTAGCAATACAACTGTCCTAGTCATTCTCTTCCTGCCCGAGGCGGCTATATTGGTTGTTTTGTGCCGAAGAACCAGACCCCTTATGACGGGTTATCATGTTGGAGATCCAACCGCCGAATCCCTCCGATCGAGTAGCATGGCCCTCTGGATTTACAGACCTAACAGATTTATTATAGGCACTAGGGCTCATATTGGGCGGATCAATGTCCAATCCAGGAATCGCATTATCCGCTCCCAGGGGACCATATTGTCGCCTAATGTCGAGCGAAGGCACAGGTGAGCCGGCACTCATCAAGGACCCACGTTCCGCCTGGGTTGCTGGAGTCGGCATAGAGGTTGTCGCATCGCCGAACAAAATATTCATATCCTCCAACCGGACACCACTTGTCTCCGGATATAGGAAATACACTAAACGATAAGTGTCAGGTAGGCCGTTACAGTGCGACAAAAATAGCAAAGGTGTACTGACCTAACACAAAGCTGCATGCACAAAAGAAAGCATGGACCAGGTAGAGACGCCACTTGATTGCGGCTTGGAGGACGGGTGTGATTTCCCCCACCAGCCAGTTGAAGGCCCAATTTGCTGCAGTGCTGAGACTGGCGCCCTTTGCACGAATACTTAAGGGCAAAATTTCGGGGGGGTAGAGCCACGGTATAGGTCCCCAAGATGCGCCAAAGGCAGCATTGTATATCATGACAAAGATGACCGTGAGCGTTGGTGTTGCTGGAACGTCTATATAGATGAAATAGGAGATCAGAGACAAAGACACAATCATAGCCACTGCCCCTGAGAGAAGAATTGGCCGTCTTCCCCACCGGTCGACAAGATACCACGGAGGAACCGTAGAAGCAAGATAGGATATGGCATTGATGCCGGTCATTAGAATAGCATCACGGCCAGCCCACCCTGCCGATTCAAAAACGAGTGGGGCGTAGTAAGAGATGACGTTGATTCCGTTCAGCTGCGCCAATGCCTGTGCTGACATTGCAATCAATACCCGTCTATAGTAACGTTTGAACATGTCACTGTAGGATCTCTCGCCCTCTTGTCGTTGAAGAAGAACATTCATCTTGATCTCTCTGTATTCTTGTCTGGCTTTGTCGTTGTGCAGATCACCCTTGCCATATAAATTCGCTATAACGACCATACCTTCCTCGTCAAAATCGTTATCTAGTAACCACCTGATCTGATGTGAGATATGTACCCAGTGAACACATGTGACTGGATGTTGAACACTTACCTGGGAGATTCGCAGATGATCAAACTGCCCACACCAAGCAAAGCACCCATGATGCATTGACAGAGCAGAGGGAGACGCCAGGAGTAATTACTATCTATGAAGCTGCAGAAATAGTCAACCCAGACACTTGCAGCGTAGCCGGAGATATTCCCCGTGAATTCAATGCATGCTAGCTTTCCACGGTTATGGGGGGGCTATTCGAGACAGTGTCAGCGTAAACTGTGCAATCGCTTGGGTTGGGCTAGTGGTCATATTTACCGAGATCTCAGACTGATAAACCGGCACAATGGTAGAGAGTGCTCCAACCCCTAAACCTGCAATGATACGGCCGACCATCATCATAGGCAGACCAGTCGCAAATGCCTGGAATGCGCCACCAATGAAGAAGACAATTGACCCATAAAGTATCGTTTTGCGACGCCCGATCAGATCGCCAACTCGTCCAACAAGTAGGGATGAGATGAATGCTCCAACTTCTAGAATCGCAACAACAGTGCCAATTGCAGCTCGTGATGGTTGATTGAAGTAATCCTTGAAATACCACCCTCTAAGGTTCATCAGCTATTGTCGTTTGAATCTAGCATTGCCGAGCATGAGACACATACGTTATGATGCCAGACATCACTCCTTGGTCATAGCCGAAGAGAAAGACGCCTAAAGATACAAAGACACTCGTGAAATACCTACATGACGTCAGCTCAGCGCATAGGAATAGTTTATCACTCAATATGAGTTCGCCTTACAGCAATGGTTTGCCAACCAGGCCATGCATCTGGGCATTTTGTCGATTGTTTGGGGACATTATCGTTGCTAAGAGACGTTCTGCACGTGAAATCCGCCTGGGTAGTGGCTGAGGTATCTCAATCGATGTCTTCTCGGTTGCGAGACTGGCAATGTATGGCTGGTGTAGTATGCGGTTCCGCTTTGGCTGTTTGGGTCGCTCCTGGGGGCCAATTGGATTAGATGTATTTAGATCTGATCGTTTTGAAACATTAATCTGTAGTGGATGCTCTGCATCAGCCGGCTGTTCGGCCAAATCGCCACTGTCGGTCCAGACAAACTCTGAGTTACCCGATGATAGCGAAGAACGCCGCCGACTTTCCCCCTCAGCCGCAGACTGCCCTGCGTCGCCTGACGCAGCAGTGGAAAATCGCGATTGAGAATTTAGGTGCCGCAAGGGTATGGTCGAAGAAGTATGCCGTTGAGATGTTTGAGAAGGAATATTGGCGGTGATAGTGGGCTGGACGTGACAGCCCCTTTCCCCGGGAACAATCAGTCCTCTTCTCTGTGTTATGATATAATTGACCGATTTCCTTGACCACTGCCAATCAAGGATAAAAAAAGAACGGTATCAGGCAGAGCCCACAAACTAGCTGCGCAACAGTCGTGTTTCGCTTGTTGGAAAAGGGGTTCAAGAGGTGACGCCTGGAGTAGGGCACAACGGTCGACTCGCAGGTGGAAGCCAAAGTAACAAAGGCACTGCACTGGGACTGAAGGGGCACGCCAGAGCGAGGGTCCTTCAAGTTGGGCGAAAGTGTGTAGCAAAAGACAAGTGCATGGGAAAGTACTGTGGGCGGAGAGCGGTGATGCACTGATTGACATTGGTCATAAGGCCGCTCACGAGACAGTTGCCAACTTGGTTGATCGACGCAGGATGACGGAGTCCGGAGCCTGACAGCCGAGAATGGTAAGGTGGAGATAGCAGGGATGATGGCACAAAAAACTTCAGAGGGGGTAAATTAAACACGAGAGTCAGTAAAAATGGAGCATACTAGCCTTACTGAGCACCTTGAGTATCAGTATACCATAGTAATCTCAAGGCTACTATGGTAGAAATTCAAAGGCTGGTATGGGTACAGTATGTATGTACTGTACCTATTGTCTTTGAAAGGTGGAGAGAACCCCGCAAGCCAGTCCGCCAGACATGGACAAGTCGGTAGATGCGGCTAGTCTAGTAGGCCGACGTCTACCCGTTAGAAGTGGATGATGTATGTATCTAACTACTCCATACCACTAAGAGTCATCGCTCCTTTGCCTAAGGTACTCAGTACTGAAAACCTCAACACGAGGAGGAAGGGGAAAATGATCATGAATTAGTCAATCGTTTCTTCGATGATTTTTTTGAGTCAGCTAAGAGACGTGCAAATACTACCTACTAAGAGGATTGATGGGGTGAAGGAAAGAAGTTCTTAGTAAGCGAAACTGGTCACCATTGGCTGGGCTCAGTACTCATCCTATGCATATTTCTGTCGCAAGTCAGTCTCCACCGACAACGCAATACATAGATACTCATCGATGCAGCACCTCGCCCCTAAACAGCGTTGGCCACCTCTATCCTGTAAATAATCATACCTTAATTAGAATAGATAATAGAAATCCCGAATCAATTCTGCTTCCTCTCAGTATATATCAGGCATTATGATTCGAACACTACTTATCTAGTCCTAGTCCTAGATTCATCTATTATATTACAGCATGTAACTTGATGGGATCCTACATTTTTAGGTGATTCTAGTTATGCACTATGAAAAAGAGCTCTAGTCAAGAAAGACTTACTTTCTCAGTTACGCTGTGGTAGGAATATAGCTCAGCATTTACGTTGCCGGTTGATCTCCTTTTTTATAAATCTAAAAATTGCTCTTAATTCCACTTATGATCGATCGACTGCCCAGCTACTCGTACTTACATATCTGCGCAGGGCGGGGTGGTATGGCAGAACACTGCCGACGAAGCTGGGTGGTAGAAAGTCACAGGATCGCCGGTAGTAGCAATAATAAGTTGAAGTAATTATTCACTACAGAGTAGTACTGAGTATAATACTCTAGTCTCACGTTGAATAAGTTATATTTAAGTTATGTAGAACCTAATAACAGTTTATCTAATACCATTTCCATATAGTGTTATAAGCTACCTAAGTACGGAGTACATAGTATTACCCTATGAAATTGTCGGTGGAGTCCTGATTAGGTAATTTCAGAACTGCCGGTTTCATTCCAACTTGCAAATACCATTTGCCGAAGCTGAGGGCTTCATGACTTTCATATAACGGAAGCGGCAGAGCTATAAGTTTGAGAGCAGTCAAGAGGATTGGTGGCAAAGATCCACTTACAATCTGAAAGACCTCAACTACATATGATCTTAATATGTACATGTAACAAGATCAATGAAATATAAGTTTGAACTAAACAATAAAGAATGGATAGAGTAGTTACGGAGTACTGTACGATAAATCTTGTCCTCATATCATAGAAATTACTATATCATTATATCGTAGGAGAAGCCTCTATCTTTATACTCAAACAATCTTTTTCTACATACAGATATTTTCAAACCAGTCAAGAAACTCCCGGGGCCATTTCCACCACCTACTATCTTGTAGTAGCTGGCAATTCCCAACATAGCGCGTATCTCAATGGTCTGAACTTATGTGTAGCCGAGCAGGCCGCCGCGCGAGAAAATGCTCCAGAATAGGAATGAGGACGGAGGGAAGTCGGAGATTCCGTCTCGACCAAGATAATCAGAATATCGGTAAGAATGGCGATGCTATTCATGCCAGGAAGAAGAAAATAATGCATATTATACCTAGATGAGTCGAAAACCATACTTTCTCATGGCAGTAGAATACTATATCCATCCCTCTCAATATATACAGTATCCGACATAAACGCATATTTACGACGGACCAACTCAAAAATAACAAGCCCAGCACTTGTGCTGGGCACTTGACGTATAGCGTCTCTGGCAAATCCACGAAAGAGCCACTTCCTCCAACCTCCAACCCTAGTCGCCTTTCGCTCGCATCTTTTCAATGTTTCCTGATAGGCATTATAGTAAAGACGTAGCATTTGTCGCCTCGAGGGACAGAAACTGGCTTGATGGTCAAGATATTCCAAGCGAGTGACATGGATGCTTTGGATGACCGATAGCGGTCGTTGTATGGCTTGTTGGGCCACTGAAGCTATCACACCCGCGGCCATGAGAAAACATGGCTCCAATGCATAATGGGGTCTAATGAGGGGGACACTGCGATTTCCAGACTGGACAGTGTGCACTCTCTGCGCACCAAGAGTACGCAACGACCCATAGTACCACGTGACAAATGAGTAGTACGCCTGAGATTTTATGAATTCGAATGATGAGAAGAAGAATGCATAGCCAAGAGAATCACGCAGGAAGGAAAGGCCCCAACCTGCGAAGATACCCCGGGCTCCAATCTGAATAAGCTTTTGATGGCCATAATGCCACATACTCCGGTACTGCCCCTCAAGAAGATCGCTTGTTCTTAGACGGACTTGGAGAGCATCAAGAGGAGCGGCTACTATAGACTGAATAGTTCCGGCTATGAATCCGGCTGCGAACGTGTTTAAAGGCGGAGGAGGGGGGTATATACGTTTGATGCCTTGCGACACAGGTTCGTTAAGACTTCCAAGAACTTGAAGGTATGATGTGTAAAGTATGGCACCAACTCTGCGGCAGTTAGAGGATACGCACATGTAAATGGTACAATGATTGGGAAAGCTCACGCGGCATTCGCTAACAAAGGGGGCATAACTTGATTGGGAATGAAGCGCCAGCCATACGTACGAACGGCGTGCATCAAGAGCCCGGGTGTGGTCGTATGCAAGGACCAGCCAGACTTCGCTGAGTGAGGGTTAACAGCCCTGGCAAATGCCTTGGCAGATTTAGAGTAGAACCGAGAAAATCAGCGATGATTTAGAGATAATAGGCACGAGGAAGACCGGGCTACACACCATATAGCTGCAAATGCAAGGCTTGTTAATATCCAACAGGAATGATTTGAGTGGGCAACTTGAATTCATACTCAACTCGGGTACGGAAAAAGGCCTTTATAGGTGCCCTGAAATAAAAGGCAACAATTTGCGCACTCAGAGCACGAGTACCAGCAGCAGATGCACCGGTTGCAGCATTGTGTCGAGACACCCTTCGAAAGGTTGAGTCCGATTGAATCAGGTCGTCAATGCTCGCTTGATCTGTATGCGCAGATGATAGATCATCTGTCATCTTGAAAACTCAGAAGAAGATCTCGCAAGGCCAGGCTTCGAACTTTGGCAAAATAGCACTAGCGGCTAAGACGAAAGCATGGCAAATTAATACTCGGGTTTCTAAGGAACGACTCAGTCATATGTGCAATGTGTATAACGAGTAGGAGTGTGACAAGTTGGTGAGAAAAATTACAACTTTGTGGAATCGGGTAGTATCTAGTATGAAGAATGAAGAGGGACCTGACAAAGTAGTCCTGAAAAAGCCGATGGGGATATCGGCGAGGCTGAGGTCAACACAAATGATGTATTCCTCAAAAGTATACATATAACAGGCGGTACACGAAAGTGAAAACCAAACAGCTCAAACATGTCTTACTAATTTCTTACTTAGCCTTCTGAAAACGCGCTTCTTCTCGCGTTAAGATTGCGCCTGGCTTCCTCCGCGACTTTTAATTAAATGCTCAGTTGCGATCTTACACACTTCTCTTTCCAATACATTCTTCTGCAATACCGGCAGCTTCAGATCTCGTCCCAGTGTAGTCTGTAGCTTCTCCTCCTGCAGCCTATCACTTCGACTATTCCCTTTCCAATTCCCCCTCTGTGCGTTCATTCTAGTTTTGCCCGGGAGTTCTTGGTACAGGACTGCGTGCTGCTACGTACGGCGAACCTCTAAGCGTTTAGCCCGTGCCACCGAAAACCCTACACCATGGCAGAAGAAATTGTGATTGATCGGAATACATTCTTTAACCGACTCACGAGCTTTTATTCAGCATGGAAAGCAGACAGACGCTCCAACAATGCCACTTTTGGCGGCGTTTCATCTATTGTTATTCTCATGGGGAAGACAGACGAGGCTAACAGTTTTCAAAAAAACAATGCGATGCATGTGAGTCGTTACTGAGGTGATGAATGGCCTGGCAACATACTAATGACAAATGACTAGTTTTGGCTACTTGGCTATGAATTTCCTGCTACTCTTCTGGTATTCACCACTGAGGTTGTATATGTTGTTACGACGGCTAAGAAAGGTAAGTTTTCGATCTTCTGATTCATCAAACGTCTTTATGCCCGGCACTTCGACATACCTTTTGCTGAGCGAACCTCCAATTCACAGCCAAACATCTTGAGCCATTGAGAGGAGGCAAAGTTCCAGTAGAGATCTTGGTGACCTCGAAGAATCCGGAAGAGAAAACGAAATCATTCGAGAAGTGCATAGAGGCTATCAAGACAGCTGGTGTAAGTTATGTCACGACTACAAAGATGAACATCTGGTGCTAAGGTACAATGTGCTGTTATAGAAAAAGGTTGGTGTCTTGCCAAAGGATACAGCTTCCGGCCCCTTTTCCGAGGATTGGAGGAGGGCGTACGCAGCCGGTGGTGGAGAATTGGAAGAAGTTGACATATCGGGCGCCCTGTCAGCTGCACTTGCAGTCAAGGATACAGATGAACTAGTCAGTTCCTCCAAGCTGCGTCGTGTCAGCTAGAATCGCAATCGTTAACTGTGCTGAAGGTATCCATCCGAAACGCGTCAAGAGCCTGTAGTGGCTTAATGGCCGATTACTTTGTGGACGAAATGTCTCGTCTTCTTGATGAAGAGAAGCAAATGACCCACAAGGCTCTCGCCATGAAAATTGACGCGAAGATTGACGACGCTAAATTTTTCAACAAATTAGCGAAACTTCCAAGTGAATTCGATCCTCAGCAAATTGACTGGGCGTACGGCCCCGTTGTACAAAGTGGAGGAAAATATGACCTTAGGCTCACAGCTTCTTCCGACAGTAACAATCTTCAACCAGGGATCATTGTTGCAGGATTTGGAATTCGCTACAGGACTTACAGTTCGCTCATTGCGCGTACATACCTTGTTGATCCAAGCAAATCGCAGGAGGCAAACTATGCTTTCCTTCTACATGTTCGCGATGCAGTCATCAAAGACATTCGTGAGGGTGCAGTGGCTAAGGACTTGTATCACAAAGCGATCAGTTTGGTTCGGGCTAAGAAGCCAGAGCTTGAGACGCACTTCGTTAAATCGGTTGGCGCAGGTGTAGGAATTGAACTCCGCGATTCTAACATGCTGCTAAACGGGAAGAATGACAAGATATTGAAGAGTGGCATGACATTCTCAGTCACGGTTGGGCTGACTGATGTTGAGGACTCCAGTGCAAAAGATCGGGGTAGCTCCGTTTATTCAATGGTCATCACTGATACAGTCCGTGTCGGCGAAAATGGGCCACTTGTTTTTACGAAAGACGCTGGTGTGGACATGGACTCGGTTTCCTTCTATTTTGGGGATGAAGAAGAATCTGAAAAGCCCATCAAGGAGAAAAAGGAGGTCAAGTCGAGCGCCATTGCCAGCAGGAATGTCACCCGAACAAAGTTGCGTGCCGAGAGGCCAACCCAAATCAATGAAGGCGCGGAGGCCCGGCGTCGTGAGCATCAAAAGGAACTGGCCACCAAGAAAACAAAAGAAGGGCTGGACAGGTTCGCAGGTACCACAGGTGATGACAATGGGGTCACACACAAAAAGTTCAAGAGATTTGAGTCTTACAAAAGGGATAATCAGTTGCCCACAAAGGTGAAAGACCTCACTATCTATGTCGACCACAAGGCTTCCACGGTCATCGTCCCTATCATGGGCCGACCAGTCCCATTTCATATCAATACCATCAAGAATGCCAGCAAGAGTGACGAGGGGGAATATGCCTACCTGAGAATCAACTTTCTATCACCAGGCCAAGGTGTCGGCAGAAAAGATGATCAGCCCTTCGAAGATCTCTCAGCGCATTTTCTACGGAACTTGACCCTTAGGTCCAAAGATAATAATCGGCTCGCCCAGGTGGCTCAAGACATCACAGAGCTTCGAAAAAATGCACTGCGACGTGAGCAGGAAAAGAAGGAAATGGAGGATGTGGTTGAGCAGGACAAACTGATTGAAATCAGGAGTAAGTGACTCAGAGATCATTGCCTCTGCGAGAATTCAGGATAACCATTTTAGACCGTCGTCCTGTCAAGTTACCTGACGTTTATCTGCGGCCACCTTTGGACGGGAAGCGAGTCCCTGGTGAAGTTGAAATACATCAGAACGGCCTTCGCTATATGTCGCCCTTTCGCAATGAACACGTCGATGTGCTTTTCAGCAATGTGAAGCATCTTTTTTTCCAACCATGCGCTCATGAATTGATCGTCTTGATACACGTTCATCTGAAGACCCCTATACTGATAGGGAAAAGAAAAACTAGGGATGTTCAATTCTACAGAGAAGCTACTGAGATGCAGTTCGATGAAACTGGAAACCGCAGACGTAAACACCGTTATGGGGACGAAGAGGAATTCGAGGCTGAACAAGAAGAACGGCGACGAAGGGCAGCGTTGGATCGCGAGTTCAAGGCGTTTGCTGAAAAGATCGCGGATGCTGGCAAAGACGAAGGAGTCGACGTTGACATTCCATTCAGAGAAATTGGCTTTACTGGCGTTCCCAACCGGTCAAATGTCTTGATTCAGCCTACTACAGACGCTCTGGTTCAACTAACTGAGCCCCCGTTCTTGGTCATCACTCTTAACGAAGTTGAAATTGCTCACCTAGAAAGAGTACAGGTAAGTTACAGCCTCTTCACTGGTCTTGTCAACTCTAACGTTCCTACAGTTCGGACTCAAAAATTTTGACCTTGTGTTTGTTTTCAAGGACTTCCATCGGACGCCCGTGCACATCAACACGATTCCCGTGGAGTCTTTGGAGGGTGTGAAAGATTGGTTAGATTCTGTCGACCTCGCTTTCACAGAAGGCCCACTGAATCTAAACTGGACTACTATCATGAAGACAGTAGTGAGTGATCCTTACGGATTCTTTAATGATGGAGGTTGGTCGTTCTTAGCAGCAGAATCCGACTCTGAGGGCGGATCGGACGAGGAAGAGGAGTCCGCGTTTGAGCTTTCTGAGTCCGAGCTTGCGGCTGCGGACGAGAGCTCGGAAGATGACAGCGAATTTGATGATGATGCTAGTGCTGAAGCAAGCGATGACTTCAGTGCAGATGAAGAGAGCGGTGAGGATTGGGACGAGCTCGAATTGAAGGCGAAAAAGAAGGATAGGGAAGGCGGTCTGGACGATGATGAGCGGGGCAAGAAACGAAAGCGATAGTTGAGATGTAATGTTTGGGCTGTGGCATGGCGACTACTACTCCCACTGTCACTACTATTATTACTACTGTTCTCACAACCTGATTTACTACCATCTTGATACGGTCACATATGGATTCTCCATACCTATTAAGCGATATGACATTTACCGCAATCTCCAGGGTCTTCTTGGCACGCGTGAATGGGATCAAGTAATATAGCAGCTGGCGTTGCTAAAATGATACGTGTATAGGAGTAGGTGCTGTGAACAGACTATATGCAAGAAACCTCCACGTGTCTTTACTCCTTCACTTCCCTGCCCTCATGGAAAACCACATGTTCCTCATTCTCTCAATCTGATCTGGTGTAAAGTTCTCGTAGCAATCATCAGATGAGTAGTCCATAAAATTGTGGATTGCATCCAGACCAGGGAGTTCCGGACATGAATCTTTCTGAGCCGGACAACCATTAGTAGGTTCAGATTGTTGCGGAGTGTCGTCTATATAGTCGCCTTCGTTATTAGATGAGCAAGTGTCTCCTTCAAATGTATGGAGAAGTCCGTTCCAGTGCCCAATCTCGTGGACAGCCGTTCCTCCTTGGTTGTAATGCGCTAAGGAGCCTCCCGGCATAGTCTGGGCCAGGACATTGCAGCCGTCCTTTATGTAGGTGGAACGTGGGCTACTGGCATTTATGCTTGGGTCAGGCAGAGTGCAAAAGCCGAGTACGCTGGACGATAGAGTGCCCATCTGTCGCGCAGAGATGTCGCGCAATGTTCGAGCACTTCCATCCGAGGACATCTGGAGATCTGTCTGGAAATAAACATTGAGAGTGCTGTAACTCCCACGGCGTAACGCACTCTTCATGGCAATTTCATCCTGGTTGTGCGCCCATGTATCATTCACATGACGAGTTATGCCTTTGAGCCGATAAGATATGGTGGCATTCTCATATGCCTCTTGTAGATAGATCAACTAAACTCGAGTTAACTCTGTAAAGGAGCAAGAACCTAGATGACAGGACAAAACAAACCTGGGAGGCTATCATCTGGTCCGAAACCGAATTGGCCGCAGCCTGGCTGCTCACGATGTGAAACCATGTTTCTATTTGAATTGTGCTTTCGGCCTCTCGGGTCTCATAGACAAAACTCGAGTTGGTTCGTGGTTTTGACATGCTCAGTCTCCTAAACTCTACTTTCAGTCGTTCGCTGGGCGCAGGCGTGGCACAGAAACCGCGGTCTAAAGACGACGCGCTGCACAAGACCTGCATACCCATCAAAATGAGCACCGACAAAGGGCATATGAGAACCATCAAAGCCATACTGGTTTCTTGAGTAAGATAATAGTTACCTTTGAAGGAATACCCGAGTGAAAAGGAAGAAAATGAGAAGCTGCTACCAACAGCTACGTGGAATGTATCGTTAGCATCTGGTCACAGGAATCCTAGGTGCTCGAGAATGCCGCAGCTAGGGGTAGATGCCCAGATGGGGAGAACAGAAGCGGCCTTTCCAGGGACGCGTCTGATAAGAACAGCAACTGATTTGGGTGGCTTTAATCAATTTGGTATAGACAAATACGAGGACATGAGCCATGCAACTCCGTAAACACAGGCCCCGGAGACATCAGAATCCGTTTAAAAAGACGCAATTACCTTGTAACGAACAGACAGCCCTGAAAACAGAAGGAAGAGAGACATTACATTCCTATGAAAGAGGCGACGAAACGAACACCAGAAAATCCCTATGGAGCGTGGGATCCAAATCTGCCATCCCTTCCAGTTGAGGTAGCAGGGCTATCATGGTCGTTGTTCCAGGTCAAATAAGTGTGATCACCGAGTTTTCTGGGTAAAGCGCAAATTAGCAAGGTGGTTTTTGAGATGCAGAATAGTCCATTGAGGGCTTTCGTGCGTACCTGGGTCGTACTAGATGAGCAATGGTGAAAAGCGCGCCGAGCACAATACAGACACCCCCGACGACTACATACGCGATCCCCATAAAGGGATTTTGGCCACCAATGACAGTCCGAGTGGATATTAATATCGACTTCGTACCACCGTACTCAGTGACGGGAAAGCCTATGCCATTAGCGACGTTGGAGGTTGCTGGGGGTTTCAAACGTACGGTCCTCAATATCGAGCTGGTAACTCCCCGCAGCCATGGCCGTGGTGTCATTTCGCCGTGACAATTTGCTAAAAGCCGGCAATGCTGCGGTTCTCATCCATACCATGAACTCTTCATCCTCGTGAAGATTGGGGATTCCGTCAACATATCCATTAGGATAGCGATCATGCCAATTAGGCGGAGGAACCACCTGCCATTTATTGTACTGGGTCTTCTTGATCAGCTGCTTGTCGCTGTCCCACGCTATGCCTTTGTTCGTCATGTAATATGTCTGGGCATCGTCGCCGTTCAGGAGCTCGGGACTGGTAATTGTGTCATTGAATAGCGAATTTGCAATGAGACCACATGGATAATACGCTTTCCCAGAAGAGTCAAGCTTGAGCGGATCGCAAGATCCTCCACTGATAGTTTCGTTGTCAACAGCCTTTCCTTTCAACTGATCAATATCAAGTGACTTGACGTATCTGCGATGATTCTGGTAGAAATTGGTCAGGCGATAGTACATGAATACGGGCGGTTCTAGTTTATCAGGAATTTCGAAAATCAAGCGACAGACGGTTGTCCCATTCTTGTTCAGGCTCTGCCAAGTCGGTGTTGATTGTTCATTGCTCGATTTGAATGAGGTTTTCACTCTATCTGAAATTGAGGTTGGTTGGGAGGATGCCTTGGTGGCGCATTCTGAGTAGTCTATGACTATCTCTTGGACCTGAGGGCTTTTAGCCTCCTAGACGTAACAGTTGTTGAAGAAAACACATACCTGCGAGCTGGCCCATAGGAGAAGACCACCGATCGGGGCAAAAATCACGCCGATGACAAAAAAGAGAGGCAACACGCTCTTGGGGGTTAGGATTGGCCTGCATGTGTCAGCTTTCTTAACTAACTGGGTTTCCATCGGGCTGGTTTCCTCACTGCCAGGCTTTCAAACGCTGTTGCCGGAAAGCGGTATCTGTTCATCTTAATCAGACTTAAATCATGCTAGGCCACGGGAGGTGCTGTCCTCACTTGCAGGTCTTCTGGTCCTGGACTTCTTGTCATCGCTAAGCTCCCCATGCTCTTCATTGTTATACTCCGTACGAGTGGCTTCTGTGTGAGACATTCCTGATGAGATCAAGACCATACGACGCCGGGCCTAAGACGCGGAGTTGATAAGGGATGCGTTCCAATTCAAGTATCCGTTGTGGCAGGAGTTGCACGATGTTCATAGGTGGATCGGGTGGCGTGGAATTGAGGATCCCGAAGTCGGAAACTGCATAGTTGGCGGGTAAAGCTTCCCAGTTCCCATAGTCGGGTAACTAACTGCCGTAAAGCCGCAGCCTTTGTGCATGGCTCGACTGGTTCTGAAACTAGTCTTCTTGTAGATATTACTCTTTGCCTGATCTGTCAGAAATACACAATGGTCTATGGTTCTTACTCTATGCATGGGCCATGGTTTGTAGGCCAATTGAGTCTAGGCACGATGCAGACAATTTACTAGCAAGGTAATGCAGATTCTTGATTCTGGGTTCAAAGCAAAGGCAGGTATGTGCCCTAAATAAACATGGCCAACGCTGCGCCGGAGGTGTGAGTAAATCGTGGCACAGAAACTTGGTTGTAGCAACATGACCGAAGCCCACATAAACATACTATTGCAGAAATTGAATGGGGGGACCTGAAGCAATCGGGGTATTAATTATAAAACACCAATAGTTAATAAGATGAATAGAACACCGGTATGATCGCTGGGTGGCAAGAGAAGTGCTATGCGATTACTGGTAGTCTGCCATGTCTAAGTGCAAACTTAAGCAATATTCCACAATCATGGTTAGTGAGTGATGAAGTTAACAAGCGCGTGAACAACTGTGATATAACATGATGCACTGCCAAACATCGAATGCCGAATTGCTTATTACCCAGGAGGAAAGACAGTAGTGAGACGTCTTCGATATGAGAGATAACCTGAGATCCCAAGCCCTATTGTTGTCGATACTGCTGAAAATGTTCTGGGTTGAACCAGCCCACACGTTCGTAAGCAGTCCACAGTTTGCTTGCCTTGTTCACATCGATCTTGCAGGCCTGTTGGGCGTCTGTCTTTCGAAACTCCTTACCAACATTCAAGGCCTTGACTCTGGCTTCGAAGATCCGCCGCTTGCTGCACAAATAAGTTGCGCATGAGAGCCTCAAGGTTGCTGCAAGGCTAAGCTCTGCTGAACTGAGTAGATTCCTGTCAGGGTCGAGACTGAGGTCTAACACCTGGCCTTTCCAGTCTGCTTTCAGCGCCTTTGCATTGCCACCAAGAGTCTCTATCGAAGGAGAAAAATCTTGGATGGAGCTATAGTCGACATCGTCCCGATTAGTTCCTATAGTGCGAGCTTGCTTCGCGCTCGATGCCAGGAGGTCAAAACTCTCCAGCGTTTTCTGCTTTGGTGTAGACTTCGGTGTTCGCTTTACTCTAGAAGCCCGTTGAACACGAGGCTGTGCAGCCAGCATCCTTTTCCCTGGTGCTGGTGCTAGTTTCTTCAACTTGGACTCGATTGGCCGTGGTCGACATCGATTCATCAGTAACAACTGACGCTCTAATGTCTCTCGCTCCTCTTTGGCCCATGCTGCTGGGTTGCGATTAAACTGCGAGGATACAATCGGTACGCATGAAAGAGCTAGAAGATACTCGTCGCGCGTCGGCTTATTTAGTTTGTTCTCAAACCTCGCCATGTGAGAATTGATATGTTGATTGACCAAAGCTTCCGCGGTATTGGGAAGCATGGGCCCAAATAAAGGTTCATCAGTGGCAATGTCATTTATAGATTCATGTCGGGGGAATAGAAGAGGATCTCTGGAAGTGCCAACGGCATCTCTGTCAATTTGTTCGGAGACATATGATTTCCTCTTTTTAGTTCCAGCATAGGGCGTAACAGGGGGGGATGGCAAGTCCATTTCTGATTGAGTACGCTTCCGGTTGCCTGGGATAGGAGGAAGTTCCATACTATGACTATATGCTGAATCCTGCGACAGTGTGAAACCGGACATCGTAGTCGGATTGAACACCTCCAGGGGTTTCGACTCTGGAGGTGACATCAAACTGGAAACGGATGGGAGACGACTCATTTTGGCCTTATCACTTGATTTTAGCGACGAGGCAGTAGTGAGTGAGGTCATCACGGAGAAAGATTCCCAAGCTCGGGACACAGGCACGGGCAAGGATGAGTCAAAGTGTATGGTTTAAGGAATGTTTGTGAAAGCAGAGGTCACTGCTTTTAAGGTCAGCCCTGGGTAAATGCAATCTTCGAGTACAAGGCGGAAGGGTGCTATGGATATTGATAGGGTGTTAATGGAAGTCAATGGAATTGGGACCTGATCAATGCTGGCAAAACACACGTGCTATTGATTTGTCAGGGCGCCCTCTTTGTCTGGTGGCAATAAGCAGGTATGACTTGGGTCTCGGCGATAAGGCTCACAATGGCCGAGACGAATGGATACTAGGTATCAGGCGAGGACAGATATTTTTCTGCTGTTGCCTTGCGCTATGGAAAGGGAAAAGGGTTCGCAAAGAAGGCTCACGAGATCTTAGAACCGGCGGAATTGACCTTTCTTACTTCCTATGGACCCCCTTTCCATTGGGGAAAACAGGCTAAGGTAAGTATGAGTCAATGCGCCGATGGCTGGGGGCTGAGGAACTAATAGAAGCAAATTCAGCAGCGCTCATGGGATTGCGGGGTTGGCGCGTGGCGGCACTGAGAGGCAAATGTTTTAGGTAGAGCCAGTACCTTGGTCTTTGATAGCCAGGAAGCTGATTGTGTGGAGGCTGTGAACCTGATGACCTGCAGAAGTCAGGAGCAGAAATCACTTATCACCGATATGTTATGTGTCACTACACTCGCACGTTAGCAACAGAAACGATGATGCTATGGGGCATACCATCTGATGGGGCGGGTCGGTCGATGATCTGCCACATGACGACAACCACCTTGTAAAAGCGGGGTCATCATTGCTGGTCATATGTACTCTGTAGTACTGTACCTTGTAAGTTAAGAAATGTGGGTTGCGCCTAAAGCTTTCACTCCAACTCAATGCTTTTTCAAATTTGGCCACTTCCAGTGAGGGGCATTGAACCCACTTGGCGGTGTGTATGGTACCCGACAATCTAAGCTGATTGTCGTAACCGCCGGACTGCACGTATACTACTTAGGTTTTTAAAATATGTACAGAGTACGAGTAGGCAGTTGTTGGGTGTACGAACCCATGGGTGATCCCTAGAGTTTATTACTCTACTATTCATACCACTCGTGCTATAGTACCTAGTATGTACCCAGTGAATCAGACGAAGGCTTTTAATCACGGGTACTCTCATTGGTAAAGAAACCACGTGAGTAGATATTTTGCAACAAAATACAGTAAAATTTACCC